TCATGTAGGACAGGATCAGCTGCTAATGTACAGTTAGCCACATTATCTCATACCACTGTTTTTATCTCTACTTAATGCTAGTTCCAGATTTATTCATTTTCATCTTATCACTAAAAATAACCATATTCACAGACTTCAAATATTAGAACATATAAAAATTGCTCATTGAGAACTTTTCCTCCCTCCTACGATGGTGTTCTGTATAATCCCCACTGTCGTCTATTTCTTGCAGCCAATATTACAAGTTTTTATGTAACCTTTTAGGGTTTCTGTATGTATTTATGACTTTGAACATGACCCCTGCTTTTTTGGCAAGTGTATCAGTCAAGGGTGAACCTTTTTTCATTTGTCTAATGTATTTTTTCTGTTCTTTTATTAATAAATTCCCAAATCATTTTATTTTAGATATATGTTGAGTTTTGCTTTTAATCCAGTTTTGAAAAATAATTCTTTTAATTGGGAAATAGAGCATATAGAAATATTTATATATTAGATTTTTGTTTCTCACTCTTATGCTATTTACATATTTTTTAAATTTTTCATTGCATCTGTAACTTTTTGTTTACATTTATGTGTATGTATGTTTGTTCTATGGTTGACTTTATAATCAAAGGAATTATGTAATTCCTCTAGTTCTTCATTTCTCTAGGACGCTATTACATCTATGCTCAGTGTTGCTACAACAAGCTTGTTTTCTCATTCTCCTGCCCCACTTCTACCACACAATTTCATTCCACAACTTGATTTTTCTTATGCTTACTTTTATTTTGTTAAATTTGCTTATACTGCTATTAGTGCATTTGTCAGTTTTCAGTGTTGTTCTTTGTCTCTGATTTATTATAAACAAGGCTTCTTTCTCCTTCATTCTCAAAATTTTTGTCAATTGTATCATTTCTACATTGTCAGGCACATGGACTTTATCTTCTATTTTTTTCATCCCAAACTCCACATTGTTTTAATTTTACTTCTACACTTAAATATATTCAGTGATCACCACCAAGTTATTTTTTTCAAACTTTTCTCAGTCATTTCTGAGTTTAGCTTTTAAAAATCATCATTCTCAGCAACCTGACACAAGAACAGAAAACCAAACACCACATGTTCTCACTCATAAGTGGGTGTTGAACAATGAGAACACACGGACACAGGGACGGGAACATCACACACTGGGGCCTAGCGGGGGTGAGGGGCTACAGCAGGAACATCAAGGGGTGAGGGCATTGGGGAGGCATAGCATTAGCAGAAATACCTAATGTAGATGACGAGGTGATGGATGCAGCAAACCACCACCATGGCACCTGTATACCTGTATAACAAACCTGTGAGATCTGCACATGTACCCCAGAACTGAAAGTATAATAATTTTTAAAAAGAACTCAAAGAGGACTCTTGGGAACAGTAATCCCTAAATTTCTTGCATATTGAAACCATTTATAGTTTTTAGATTTGAAGGATAACTTGAATGTATGTAATATTTTTAGCTTATTCTTTCTCTGATTATTCTACTCTTTTCTGGTGTTGTCCATTCCTATAAAATATCTAATGCAAGATAGAGACTTTTCTCCTTTTTAGGTGGCTTGATTATTTTATCTGTTGCCAGATGATTTCCTCTTTATCTTTAAAGTTTAATAACATTGCTGGGATATGACTTGGTTTTGAGTATTCTAAGTCAATTATTCCTAGTATACAATGTGTCCTTTCAACATATGTGGGGTTGACTTGTATTTGAGGAAACCTTTATTAACTGATGCCTTTAAATATTTGTTATGCTTTGTTTTTTTTTCTTAAGTACTGATATGGTTTGGCTGTGTTCCCATTCAAATCTCAATTTGAATTGTATTTCTAAGAATTCCCATGTGCTGTGGGAGGGACCTGGGGAAGGTAATCGAATGCCAGTCTTTCTTGTTCTATTCTCATGATAGTAAGTCTCATGAGATCTTATGGGTTTAACAGGGGTTTCCATTTTTGTTTATTCCTCATTTCTCTCTTGCTGCTGTCATGTAAGAAGTACTTTTCCATTTGACCCAGCAATCCAAAGGATTATAAATCATTCTATTATAAAGACACATGTATACATATGCTCAATGTGGCACTGTTTACAATAGCAAAAACCTGGAACCAACCCAAATGCCCATCGGTGATAGACTGGACAGGGAAAATGTGGGACATATATACCATGGAATACTATGTAGCCATGAAAAATGATGAGTTTGTGTCCTTTGTAGGGACATGGATGAATCTGGAAACCATCATTCTCAGCAAACTGACACAAGAACAGAAGTCAAACACTGCATGTTCTCACTCATAGGTGGGTGTTGAACAATGAGAACTCATGGACACAGGGAGGGGAGCATCACACACTGGGGTCTGTTGGGGAGGGGGATACTGGTGGGAGAGCTGGGGTAAGGAGGTTGGGGAGGGATAACATGGAGAGAAATGCCAGATACAGGTGATGGAGGGATGGAGGCAGCAAGTTGCATTTCCATGTGTGTACCTATGCAACAATCCTGCATGTTCTACACATGTACCCCATAACTTAAAGTGCAATTAAAAAAATATATATATACATATTTTTTAAAAGAAGTATTTTTTTTTTTTTTGCCTCCTACATGATTCTGAGGCCTGCCCAGCCATGCGAAGCTGTAAGTCTAATTAAATATTATTTTGTTCCCAGGTTTGGGTATGTCTTTATCAGCAGTGTGAAAATGAACTAATACAAGTACTTACCATAATTATGTTTTTGTTGATCCATTATTTTGGGTCTGTCTTCAATATTAATTTTCTAATTCATTCTCTTTATAATTTTTATTTTATTATATATTTTTTCTCATTGCTGTATTCTAGGTTTCCTACTGTTTTACCAGAAACTACGTTCTCCCTTGTGATTTTTTTTCCCTCTTTATCTGAGGTTTGCTACCTCATACTTCATCACTTCCTCTTGTGTCTTCATCTCTTCCCTATTTTCACTTCTGTTCTGTGATCTTTCTTCATAGAAGCAACTGCTGTTTTAAATCTTAAAATTTAATTTTTGTCAAAATACTTGGTAACAATATTTGTGCAATGGCAATATTTTTCTGGCAATATTTATCTGTGCAATGGCAATATTTTTCTTATATGTTGATTAATTTTGCTGCTCCTTTTAAAATTTGATTGGTTTTAGTTTTTTCTTGTAATAAGTTTGTGTTCATGCGGTATTAGTTTTAAAAGTTTCCTCTTTTAATTAATTAGCTTTAATGAGGTAGGGTGGTTTTTTTTTTTTTTTTCTTTTTTCTTTTTTGACTTGAACTATGTGGTAAATCCTTGAGTAAGAGGCTGGAATGTGAGATAAGCGTATCCTTCAAGTTTTACAACCCATGGGAACAGACTTATTTCGCAAAAAATGACTCATGTGTGTAATACAGGTAGCCCTGCCTCATCTATTTCACTGATCCAAACAAGGTCCCAAAGAGCTTCTGCTTCCAGCTGCGTTCACCTCATTTTAGCATTCATGTATTATATAAGGGATGAACCATTTGTACTTCATGGTGAGCCTGTCACTCACATGACTACCTTTTTCCCAGTACATTCTAAGATGCTGTGGCTGGCCTATATACTCTCTATACTTTTTACTTTTTCTTGGGTAACTTTTTTCCAATCTCAGCTGTTTGGTTCTTCATATTTTATAGGCTATAGATTACATCTCCCTTTGAGTTTTGCTGAAAGTAGAATATATTTGCAAAGCTATTTTCTCTCATTTTCCTGGTTGCTTTTATATAATTTTCATGAGAAGAAGAGAAAAGATCTTGACTTTTGTAGCCAGGATCTGTATATACTTTCTCTATACAGTATAGTTTATATTGGCAGTGGAAGGTTTTTGTTTTGTTTTGTGTTTAATCCTAATATACAAGTATGCCACTATACTATAAAGTCATTCAATGTTTACTTTTTAAATTTCATATTCTTTGGTATTTAAAGTGTTCAAAGTCCAGCTCAACTTTATTCCATTTCACTTCCTTTCACATATTTTATGCTTCTTTTAAATTGTACTGAATTATCCACAGTCATTCCAATAGTAAAATATCTTTCCATTCTGTATTCACCTTGTTTCCTCTAGTTGACACTTTCTATCCAACCTTTGCCAATTCTTCCCCACCTCCATGTTTCTTATTATCAATGAAAGTCCTGTCTGGAATTTAAGACCTACCTCAAATAAGTACCTAATTCCTAAACCTTTTTGTTTTAAATCTTTACATATTATACTATCTTTTATATGTTCATACACAATTTGCATTGCTTATATTCTCTTGGAATAATATCTTTTTGTATATGATGTTTTGGTTATTTGGGTACTGCTTCTAATTTCCATCAATTGTAAGTAAGCTCATGACTTGGTCGTTTCTGTGCCTCATTTATGCCTGAACACAGAACGTTGCATATAACAGACATTCAATAAGCATTTGTTTAAACAATAAATGCAAAATGCCAAAATTATTTTCTAGAATGCATGGCACAGTTTCCTCCTTCTTCTCACTGATGCACTATATAACCACTCATGGAAATAATGCGGTTCTTTTTATTTTTTCCTGAAACTGCAAACCCCTACGGATGTGATTGTAGATGCCCTTGTTTATTCATGCAGACAGTCAAACTGTGTTTTGATTATTTTAATTGTCTTATTTCAATACAGAATAATTTTTTTCCTGGCTGCTTATGTCTTGATAGCTGTTAAGTAGATTAAAAAACAGAAGTGGAAAACACAAACTTCTACCCTTAGAATGGTGGATTTCTATTAAGAAGATACATGCATTAAAAGAACAAACTCAATTAAAATTTAACTTTTCTATGTAAATTGAAGTAAACAGAATAGTACCTTAGAGAAAATTTTCCCAAATACACTCTTATGTTTTAGAAACAAAAATTTTTAGAAAAAGAAAGATGTGAGAATTTTCTCCCCACTATTTTATTTAAGTAGGTCTCTTACCAAATATAATTTACATGTGATTTTCCTCATGATTCTGTAGGTTTGAAAGCTGTATTTGATGAGAAAAGCCTGTTTCCCAAGGAAATTCTGGGTCATGAATGAAAAGCCAAGCAATTTTGCCAGGAAAGAAGTTGTGAAGTAAAGAAAAATACAAAGTAATTATAATAGAAAAAGCTGCATTGTTACATAAAGTACATTAAAAAATGCAGAAAAAGCATCAAGAATTCTACCTTTTATTTTATATTTGAACTTCAGGAAGTTTTGTCTTCAGGGGATATTTTAGTACTGCTTTTATTTATCACCTTTCAGTTTCTCTGTATTCTTAGTGAAATAAATATTGAACTAAAGTGGCAGCAACATCAATTGGTATTTATTCTCAAGAATGTTATATAAAAACTTTAGGATTCCAGAACAAAGTTCTAACCAGTTGTTCTTCTGGTTGTTTCTATAGACATTTTTGGTCAATTTTCATCGTAAAACCTGCATTGGAATATATGAAAGTACTGACGCATTAAATGTCTACAAATGTGAATAAGAAAACTGTTTCTGCTTTTTTACACTTTCTAGTATTTTTTTAATGATCCTCATAATGGCAATTAGACCTTGTCAATAGCACCACTTCCGATTAATTCTTATTGGCTTCTGTTCATTCTATAAGCTTGTTGGGAAATTACTGCATATGATCTACTTCAATACTTTCTTATACTGTATTTTAAAATGGAATACCATAGCACATCAAAGAGGTAATAGTCTTGAAAAAAAATAAAAGGGCCTGGGGCTATAAAGAGGACCCACTCTATGTGAAAAGTCAAGTGGGAAATATGGGTTCTGCAACTTACAGCCTCTTTTTGTTGACCCATTTTTATTTACAAATATAATCATGCTCCAGGCAACAAATATTATTATTCGACTTTATTCTGTTCTATAGAAAGAATTGATAAATTCATTTACATTACTGTAAGGACTTACTAAATATTTCTGTTTTAAAGAGTCCATTTAAAACTACCTGTAGTTTAAGACGAATTTTTCAACAGCACGTAGTAAAGGAAAATAATTCACAATATGTAGGAGACCCCTTGGTATAGCAACTGCAAATGTCCATTGTGTTTAAACCATGCAATATGGAATATATTGGCTTAGCGCTAAAATATTTGATGTGAATCCATTAGGGGAGTGCTTAATTATCAATGGCAGAGTTGAGATTGGAGCTGAGGTCCGTTTTACTCCCAAACCATGGTATTTGCCATTCATCGTTCTGTTCACTTGCTTCGTAATAGCATAAAGTCAATGAAATGAATTCTAACGATAGACTTTCCAGCACCAGTGGAGCAAATATTTTGGTTTGGTGGAGATGGTGGTGACAGAAAGGGTTTCAGAAGACAGCTGCCTATTCTAACTACATTTAAGTGCATTCTGAGTCAGGCATCATGACTTCTATTCATATTCCCTTTCCTCCTCCTGCAATGACAATCACACATGGGAAGGATTGTAGAAGAAAAGTGTATTTCCCTGTGTGTGTGTACGTGTGTGTTTGTCTCTTGGGTGGTGTGATGATGTAGGAGAGTGTCCTTGTTTTAGAAAAATAAAATAATAGAATGTTTATGATAGAAATTATGCATTCAGCTTGCTATAAAATGATTCAGAAAATACTAATTATATGTATAAAATGTGTATATATACACACACAGGTAACACATGTACATATCTATATTTATATCTGTTTATGGAGAGGAGATATATATATATAGATGAAACACACAAATGTGGTGGATGCTAACAACTGGAGACAGGAGGAGGTCGAGATAGTAGTTTTTTGTACTATAGCTGTAATTTATGTAAATTTGAAAGTATTTCAAGGTAAATTATTTTCTCTAAATATGAAAAGTTGCCTTTGTACAGAAAGATTATTTGAGATGTGCAAGCGGACACTGTGCAGCTGTCTCACAGGCATATTGCAAAGACTTCTTACACTGGGTAGGAGGTTTGATTGGATAATCCATCATTTCAAACTCAGAGCATATGATTTATGAATCATAGGTTGGTGATAGTACAGCGGAGTGAAGTCTGAGCCACATTCCCAGAAATTTAACAGATTGTTAAGATGTTATAGAAGTAGAATGTGGGTACCAAATAATTTTCAAAGGCTCTTTTCCCCACTGATCCATCCATCCTTCCCTCATGTAATTATTGAAGATATGTACGAGAGACTATTTTAGATACTAGGTATTAACATATAAATAAATAGAATGCACTTTTTCTACTCTCAGCTTTATGAAGTGAAGCCATGTAAAATGTACTGGTTTATTAAGCCAATATTGAATGACACTGCTGGCATAAGTTGGAAATTCATAATTAGGCATATATTTTCTGGCGTAATTTGAAAATTCTTTTGCTAGACATATTTTACATTTTACCCTTGAAGATAACTTTGTTTGATGTGATAGCGTGAGAGAGTCTGATTCACATAGACAGACTTTCTCTCTACAGACTCCTACCTGTGCATGGTATTATGCTATGAGTAACTCTAATTCCATCCTTAATTAACATCAGGGCTTCTTCTGTAAAAGGAATTAAGAAGCGCTGTCTCATAAATAAATTCAATGAGAAGAGAACTTCTAAAGGTATGAGAGTTTCTTTTAATGTTACCGTTTCTAATAACTTGGAGAACAAACACAAAAAGAAGAAAAAAGACAATGTCTTTTTTTTTTTCTATATCTTACTCTTCTTTTGTAACTTGCACCATTTAATTTTCTAGGCAGGTAGCAGGATCTCCCCTATCAACTGTTAACAGAACTGAAGTCATTATAAACTGTTTCTCAAATTAACATTAGATTCAATTACTTAAGACCCATTTTTCCTATGGTAAAAGGAATTTTTCATATTAAAATAGGATGTGTCATGATTTTCAATAGGCTACCTTGTTTGTATTACTTACATTTACACTAAATATAATTTAACCTTTTCTTTTGTCAGAACATTTTCCTATCACCAGTCGAAATTTAGGAACAATATTTACAAATAAAAATTGCCTGAAATGAGTCCATGCTTAAATGGAAGAAATAACTTTTAAGGTATTTACTGATTAAGGCATTTGCTTATATGATGTTAAAGGTTGGAGTTAAGTGCATTTTTACCTGAAAAAGCTATAAAATGATGAGATGATAACTGTAATAACTTGCTGTGGTTTATATATATATTCCCAGGTTTATACTTCACAGTGGGATGGTAATGGCAATCAACCTTATACCAATACACTTTGGCTCTCATTAGTGAATAATCCTTCCCCCCCCCTCCCCCCGCCACCGATTGTCAAGGAACAAAAGTAGAAGAAGTTAGGGAACATATTTTAAACATTTACAGTAATATTTTATGGAAAATTGTATTATCTTCATTGTCTATTAAAAGAGTTTAAACTAGGGAGAATAAATTTATGGCTATTGCTTTTTACTCCTCAAGAGACAGGAAAATGAACATTCTGCCTGAAACGTTCTAACATAGATCCTTACAGAACAATTTCACTAAATGGTCTTAGTGGGACAGAGTGATTGTCTCTGCCATTGGTAGAAAAAGTAATGGCCTATTTCTGGATAAATCACATTGTGATCTGAGCAGTGTATAGACATAATAATGTGGTAGCCAAGGGTACTGGTGATAGATGTTTGCTAGTGTCAGTAAATGAATAGAAAATCACTGATTGAATGATAGTCTTGGACATTCAGACTTAATATTTATGTCTTGCAATGTGAAGCAAGTAGAATGATAGTATTCCTGTATTGTACAACTCTTTTTATTGAAAATTATCTTGCTAGACTAGAGTTTGCTTATATTAGAGTAGGTAATATTAGAATAAAACCCAAGGTCTAGAAAACATTTGAAGATGCCTATATGGGAAATCAAAAATTTTAGTTAATTAGTAGATTACAGCCTATAATGATCTATCATCATGCCTATTTTTAAGTTATAGCCGTATTAGGACACTGAGAGATGTTAACAGGTTCTCTGGTAAGTTTTAAAAAATGAATCCCATTTAAAGCTATCTATACTCTCTTTTACATGAGCTTATCAGAAATAGTATTAATTTTGGGGATCAACAGATTTTTGTTTAAAACTGGACTGATTTTTTTTTTGGTTTCTCTTCTCAAAGGCTATGGATAAATAATGCAATGTACTTAATATCTGATTGCCATTGAAGTGATTGATTTGAACTACAAAAATGAGATGAAACCTATTAAATTATGCAATCTTTTATTAATGACCTTTTAGCAAAGAAAATCATGTAGTGTTTTAAAAGCACATGAAGGTAACACCAATTTTTATCATCAAATTACCTGTGGCTGATAGTATTATCCTGAGATATTTTGGCAAATTTGTTATCTTTTTTGCTGGCCATTCTGCTCAAATTAAAGAACATATTTCTTCAATATCCACTCTTTTCCTTAAGGATTCAAATGGACTTTAGATCCACAGGAAACTCCTCTGACTATTGTATAATCTGATGAATTGTTGAGAACTCTGTAAATGCAGCAGTAATTTGTCTCTGCATTCTGGACTTGATTTAGCTTTATTCTTTTTCTCATAGGCATCCTGAAATATTCATGATGAAGTCCATTGGTAATCTGATGTGGGAGTCCTGTGAGAAACAAAAAGAACTAATCACTAGCAAATTTACAACCACTGGCACGTATTTTCAAATTCTGTGCAACTTTTAAAAGAAGTAAAATAATGGATAAAATAATAATATAAACATAATTTTAAAAATTCTATTACTGTTTTATTTCTTCATTTTTACCTATTTCATCAGTTGATTATTAACCTGATTATGTTAGTTCTTTAATACAAATGTCGTGAACACCTGCTTTGGTTCTAGAGGAATTAATCAAGGAATGTTCAAGATAAATAGGGTTGGCCTTGATAGCTCAGGTGTTCATGTACAAGGGTTTTCCAGCAAGCATATTTTAGTTGTAACACTCCAGTGAATAATCAGAGGCCCATTTTGGGTAAGTACCTTAGAAATAAATAGCTTTTGAATAAAGCATATATGCAATAACATTGCCTATGAGTGTTTAGCAAAGTAAGGAAAGGCATTTCAATTTACTTTGGTATAAAAATCATTTGAACTTATTAAATTAACATATCACTTTTATTCTTCTCAAATGATTTCACTGTACATCAGAAGATCCAGTTCTTATAGGACTATTTGTCAGGTTGTTTAGTTCTGCAGTACTTTGTGCTTTCTCATAAGATAAAATTCAAAATCCAATGAGGTAAGTGAATTTTTGAAACCAATATTTGCCTGAGGTTATAATTTATTAAGTGCTTAGAAATTTTCTGGAAAAAAAATGGATGCTCAAATAATATAAATTTAATTATTAGGATAATTAATAATAATGAGAAAGAAACTCTAATACTGATATTCTACCACAAAGGAAAAATTCTATTTTTTAGTAATACTGTTTATTCTACTATAAACTAAGTACATAAAGCTATATCTACTGTATTGTCACTTGATAACTTAAAAGTACTAATAACATTTTGACTACTTACATATCTACAAACACATATTTTGGTCAAAAGTCTTCTGAGAAATTGAATATATTAGAATATAATGATACACATTTATTTTGCATGTAAAACTTTTACTCACTGGTTTTTACTATTGTTGCACTCTCATTTACAACCTCATAGGCTAAATTAATCCCTAATGAAACATTTCTTGACATTAATAACATACGTCTATATCTGAAGTTTACCGACACATTTTCTAACAATTGCTTTGGATTGTTTTTTGAGGTTTTTATCTTCTACAAATGAGTGTCTAAACAAATACAGTTTAAAAACATGTGTTGAAAGAGAATTTGATATATCTAAATAATGACTTCATAGTTTAGTTTGGAAGAATATTTGACTATTAGTCATCTTTATATATAAATATGGTTGTTAGTGACTCCTATCCATTTATGGGTTATGGTGGCCCCCTTATTAATCTGCAAAACAGTCTAGAAATGTAACTCTCCACTGAAGGCTGACAACGCACTATTCTGAAGGCTTTCATCTTTATCCTGAGTAAGGGTTACTTCCTCATAACTTATTAATGGATATGTTTTTAAGGGTTACTAACATGCATTATTTATAAGGTAAAATTATTATTACTAAAATTTATGAGGCCTTGGAGTCAGCATTCTACCAAGTATGTGGTAAAACTGCAAAACTAATTATGCTTGAGATATAGTCAAAAGGTTGAATTTCCTGCAATTTTAGTGAAGAGCACTTTAATAGGGTATTAATCTTGTGAATTGTCTATGGTTTTCAATTGCTGCTACTCAGGTTTGTTAGTATTTTTGTCAATTTATTCTTTAATATTTTATTTCACTTATATTTTTATTTTATGATTTCAACTTTTATTACAGATTAAAAGGTGCATGCACAGGTTTCTTACATGGGTATATGGCCTGACGCTAAGGATTGAGGTATAAATGATCTCATCAGCCAGGTAGTGAGCATAGTACTTAATGGTATCATTTATATTTGGTGGTCATTTTGTTTCAAACTTTGCAGGTTTTCTGCATTGCATTTTTCTTCCTTTGGAAAAGTAGGAGGAGGGTTTGGAGTTATTTTGTCGTAAGAAATAAAGCGTGAGGAAGGTTGTTGAAAAAGCCAGATTACTCAGTTATTTTAGAATACATTAATTTTCTAATATTATAGGTCCAAAACCATACTGGAGTAAGTGTTTTTATTCAGTTTCTCCTCTTGATCTATAAATTACTTTAGAAGTAATTTTCTGCTCAGAAGCTTTACTTGATGTCAGAGTTACACTTAATCCCACTTAAAAACCATGAGAAAAGATAGAAAAAAAGTATAGCTCTTTAGAGGTATCCATTGCCATTGGTAACATTCCGATACTGTAGTTTCTTTTATGATTTTTGTTACAAAACTACAAGTATATTTTCTACTAGTTCTTGAAGATACCTAAGAAATACCATGAGCACATGGAGTATTTCTCCTAATAGATGATACTTACTCAGAAATCAAATTGGATAGAGTTCACTTGTGGTAGTAAGTTCTATTAAGATAGAAAGCTACAATAGGTAGAAAGTTTTCTGTTGAGATCTCTATGCAAAATCCTTTTGAAAATGAATACATTTCGATTTAAACAATACAGAGAAGTCAAAATGGACACAATCTTCTTGTGGAGTCTCCTATTGCTGTTTTTTGGAAGTCAAGCCTCAAGACCCTCAGCTAAAAAAAATACCGAATTTGCAATGGATCTTTATCAAGAGGTTTCCTTGTCTTGTAAGAACAACATTATATTTTCGCCCCTTGGAATAACTTTGATTCTTGAAATGGTACAACTGGGAGCCAAAGGAAAAGCACAGCAGCAGATAAGACAGACTTTAAAACAACAGGAAACCTCAGCTGGTAAGAGACTTATATCTCCTTACCTATACTGGATAAGATATGGAAAAATTTATTTTTAATATTAGAAGTTAGGATAAGAAAACTTTAATAAGTGAAAAATGTAATGTAAAGTAAAAAATTATAATAAAATGGAGAATTGTAAACGTAATTTTCATTCATTTATAATTCTTTCCTTTAAAAAAGTTACAAAAATAATTTATTAAGAAATTGGCATTTATATAAATGTAAAATTGAGTATATATTTGTTCATTTTCTTCTAGTATGTTTTAGCCAGTTTTAACTACTGGAGATTATATTGTGTGTGTGTGTGTGTGTGTGTGTGTGTGTGTGTGTGTGTGTATGTACATACACATAAAATATACATCTATACCCTTATATATTCTTCCACTATCACTATGTTGTGATCATTTTCCCATGTCATGCAAATGATTCAAAATACAATTTTTAATTACCATATCTTATTGCCTCTTTTTTTTTTTTTTTTTTTTTTTTTTTTTTTTGGTGGAGTTTTGCTCTGTTGCCCAGGCTGGAGTGCAGTGGTGTGATCTTGGCTCACTGCAACCTCTGCCTCTTTAGTTCAAGGAATTCTCCTGCCTCAGCCTCCCGAGTAGCTGGGATTACAGGCACACACCACCATGCCTGGCTAATTTTGTATTTTTAGTAGAGACAGGGTTTTCTCCATGTTGGCCAGGCTGGTCTCGAACTCCTGACCTCAGTTGATTCACCTGCCTCGACCTCTCAAAGTGCTGGGATTACAGGCTTGAGCCACCACTCCTTGCCCTCTTATTGCCTCTTACAGAAATACCATTATTTGTTTAGCCTTTCTTCAATAGGTTGTTTCCAACATTTCTCTTATGAAATCAATGTACTCTCATCCAAAATGAGACCAAGAAAATGCATTAATTTGTTCATTTTGAGAACTTATTTGTTACTAGTTTTAAAAGAAAAATGAGGGGGAAAGTGTTTAAATCATCAAAGGCATTTGTGCTTGTGAATTATGGTGTTTTGTTGGAGTCTCCCCATGGTGTATCTGGGATAGTGTGTATCCCTCTTACTGGGATACTGTGCTTTTGTGCTGGCATCCCATTTGAAAGAATTGTTGCTCGGCTGGAACGGTGGCTCACACCTGTAATCTCAGCACTTTGGGAGGCTGAGATGGGTAGATCACTTGAGGTTAGAAGTTCAAGACCAGCCTGGACAGCATGGTAAAACCTCGTCTTTACTAAAAATACAAAAATTAGCAGGGCATGGTGGCATGTGCCTATAGTCCCAGCAACTTGGGAGGCTGAGGTAGGAGAATTGCTTGAATCCAGGAGGCGGAGGTTGCAGTGAGCTGAGATTGTGCCACTGCACTCCAGCCTGGGCAGCAGAACACACTCTGTCTCAAAAAAAAGAAAAATGTTGTTGCTCATCTCCTTAGCCATCTCATGCTCTCAGTCACTGTAGTTGTTTTAATTTTCAGCTTTTGGATTACTCTGAGATACTGTGTTCTAAATACAGATAGTTGATTTGGGAATTCAGTTGCTACAACTATAATTTCAGTATATTTTTCTTATCACAGAGTAGCTGTATTTAGAAATTTGCTTTCCTGAAAATACTATTTACAATATTTTATTTGCTTAATTTTAAATAAAGATAATTTTATACAGAAAAGAAGTTGGTGATAGTAAAGTTAATTGTAAGAATTTTCCTTTGTAAATAATGCATACTGAAGCCAATGTATTCCAGATTTAATCTTGATTAATTTAAGCAAATCCCGCTGGACCACTCCTAGAAACATAACATGCTATAGCTTTGAAAAGTAACACAGTATTTGTGAAGCTACATAAATTAGAGTCTTTTAAAACTAAATTACTTTAAATGGATCCATCATATAGAGAAACACAGATGTTTTAACAAGTGAATTGTGAACATAATCAAATTAATAATAATAATGCACTATCAAAAAAGATAGCATATCAGCTACTGTTTTATGTGCTTAATATATATTCTTTCATTTTATATTTATAATTACTTTGTTAGGCAAACAACCCTGTAATAAGCCTGGGAAATTCGAGGCAAAGAAAGGTTAAATAATTTGTTCAGTGCTAATTCCTAAAATAATTCAAGGAGGATTAAGAATATAAGAGCAATATATTTTCATTAATACATTAATAAGAATATGTATTCTTCTATATTATGTAAGGCTCTTAGTGTCCTCAGTTCTTTACTTCGTTGTCAAATATCTGTTCTGAATTTACCTCCTCCATTTTGCTGAACATCTGATAATACTTCCTTTTGCTTTACCTCTGATAATGCTGATGAAGAATCAAAGGCTAAATTGAAGGTTCTTGGTTTTTTCACAGGGTTATGAAAAGGGAAAGGGGCACGAATTCTTGTCCCAGTTCTGCAACTAAATGACCTTATGATTTCTCACAAGTCATGCCACTTGTGAAGTTTCTTAATCTCTCTGGACCTCAGATTCCTCACTGTAAAAAGAAAGGTTAGGGTTAGGTAATTTATTTGGATTTTTTTGACTGAAACAATCTATAATTCTATGGCTACCTATGTTTTCATCTTTGGATCTACCATATGCACACAAAATTGGCTTTTAGACCTTTACTAGCAGAAGATAACATGCACTGAATTTTAGAACATTTTCTGGAGGTTTGGTACAATCAAATCAAGAATCACATTCACTCATGACCTGTGGGTTATCCATGGCTTTATTTTAGAAAATGAAATAAACTTGTTCTCATTACTTATTAGGAGCCGTGTGTGTGTGTGTGTGTGTGTGTGTGTGTGTGTGTGTGTACACATATATATATACTTTTTGATCTGTGTTACAAATGTCATTAATCTAGAAACCAAATAAAATATATAAGCAGATAATATTATATTCTTCTCCAAACTTGTACTACTTGGTAACATTTTTTTTTCATTGACTTCTAAGTTCAACGATTTATCAAAGGGCAGCTGTTTGTCACACAGACTTAGACCTTAAGTACATGACATAAATCTATTTGCTTTGATAAATGATTTGGAACTACTTTTTCTCCCCTTCTCTCTTTTTTTAAATTCCTTTAAAGATGTTCATATATTTCAAATTCCTGATAATTAGTTTCAGATTCTGTCATTTCATTTCTGATCTTAATTAATTCTTTTGGAAAAGCTCTCATGTCTTTACTCAGAAAGTCTTTTCTTTAGCCTCCCAGCTCTTCAGATATTTCATTGAGGCTTCAAATAGCCTGAAATAAATGATTATGTCTGAAATCATTGCATAAATAAGTAAAATGGCTTAACTTTCCTCCCTTCCTTATGTAAAGAATTCCAGGATTATAAAGAATTACCAAAATTCTTCAGATAGAATCATATGGAAGTAAGTTATTTTAATATCTGAAATTGTTTATACCTGTATCTGTATTCTAATGAACAGAGAATCCTGGAGTTTGAAATATAATTCAATATACTTCATAGAGCCTTGAGGTTGTGAGACCAGGCCAAAAAAGGCAAGTAATGACCGAAATGTAGCCTCTACCCAGCTGGACAAGATGAGAGGCCATGTAGCTGCCCAGCTCCTATAGAGGGAACTATTTTTATTTGCACAGAAATGCCCTATGGGGCTACTAGCTTTCTGATTATATATATATATATACATATATATATATATAAAATATTTAATATATAATATGAAAAGTTTATATAATATATATGTGTATATATAATATGTATATATAATATTTAATATATAATATGAAAAGTATATATAATATGTATGTGTATATATAATATGTGTGTATATATAATATTTAATATATAATATGAAAAGTATAATATATATGTATATATATATGTGTGTGTGTGTATATATATACACACAGACACACAAGCATAGGTATACACACACACACATCCTCCTTACATCTAGTAGATACCCAGTAGTAAATCTCTTAGTAATACCTGGTTTTCTTGAATAAAGATTAATTGAATGTATAAATTTTTATGTTATGAAAGTGGCATTTGCAGTATTTAATTGAAAATATAATGAAGACCCTGAAAGAACCTATTTGAAATAGAGTTTCAAGACTTAATGATTGAGTTCTAAGGTGAAGCAAGAAGAAAATGAAAACTGTCAGTATACTTTGGTAATGAATAGGAAGCTACTAAACCCAATATCAGGGTAGATGTCCCTCATAGGCATATATAGCTTCCGGACAACATTTCAGTCAGAACAATGCAAAAATAAATAATAGGCCTGAAGTGATTCTTTCAGTTGACTCTGACTGACTTATTTTGGCTAGTGGTTATAGTTAAAATGGTTAAAGATTTTTACTGTTGGTGTCAACAGCCAAAGTGTATAAATTCATGAACTTGTAGAAATAGGCAATTCTGATTCTTACACATCTCTAGAGATGATGACAAAGGTTGCCTTGTAAATTTAAAAACCTGGATAGGTGCAGTTGCTTATGAGAGAACAACTTTTTTCCTAAGCTGAAATAAAAGTAATATTGAAAGAGATTGCTCTTCACTGTCACACCCCCATCAGCATTCATTAGCATTTTCTTTTCAGAGATATTACATGCTCATGTTATGCAAAGAATAAGATTCTAAACATAAATTTCAACAACTAAAAATGAGCTAAATGTGACTATCAAGAGGAACTTTCCTTCAGCTTCTATAAATGCATATTCTTGTTTTTGACAAATTTCAAATTTACAGACATTCATTTTTCTATATAAAAGATGATTCCTCTACAAAATGCATATTCTACAGGAGATACATTCTTAAAATATTTATACCAACTTTGAAGGGATTGTTAGTTATACCTAAGGGTACAAAAAATGGTGATATGAATCAGGGCGCTTAGATAGCAAAGCTGAAAAGCTGTTGTTGTTTGTTGTTCAATATGCCAGTATACATTAAAATTATTTTCTAGGGGAAGAATTTTTCGAACTGAAGTCATTTTTCTCTGCCATCTCAGAGAAAAAACAAGAATTTACATTTAATCTTGCCAATGCCCTCTACCTTCAAGAAGGATTCACTGTGAAAGAACAGTATCTCCATGGCAACAAGGAATTTTTTCAGAGTGCTATAAAACTGGTGGATTTTCAAGATGCAAAGGCTTGTGCAGAGATGATAAGTACCTGGGTAGAAAGCAAAACAGATGGTAAAGTTTCTCATTTTCATAAAATTATTATTTGCCATTGTATTCATGGTTTTTAATATCCTAAAGTAAAGAATGGCTGAATATTTTCCTACTGCACTATGGATCACAGGAATCAAATATCCTATTTCATTTCACTGTTTTTAAATTAATACTAAATTTAAAACTGGGATAAATTATAAGCTGCTTTGAAGAGTATGCTGATTCTTCTACTGTTTTTTTTAGAGGTACCTGCTTGTAGAATTCTTAATGAAGTAATTTTAATAATAATTTTGGTTAAAACTTACATTTTTTTCAGGTATAAAAGCAGAAATAATTTCTTTCGCCGGGTAGAAGTTAAATCTGTCAATCATAAATGGTTTCTTTCCCACAGATGCTGAAAATGATTAACACATTTCAGTTGAATGTGTTAATATTTAATAATAAATCTTAATAGTTCTATCATAAATATGGTAGTCTAAACTTTAAATGCAAGCTAGCAAAAATTTCATAGTCAACTACAGAGGGATATAATAAATTTAAATTCATACAAATCTGAGTTGAAACCTTGGAAAGTTATAAGCCATGCTCCATTTAAAATGAGGATATTATTAAAACATTTCCACATTCAGAGTTTTAATAATAATGTAAATAATGTATGTGAAGTGTTAAGCATATACCAAGCCCTCAATTAATAGTAATTCATTTAATCAGCTAATAATGTGATGTTATAACACACTGCTATACTCTTTACAGGAAGCCTTATATGGGGAAGCATACATTGAAAATGTGAAATAGGTGTGGTGAGCTGTGTTCACAGGTATAGGAAATGAGGACATCACTAGACAGCTTCATGCCACCCAATCACGCATATTTCTCATAACTTGGAACAACTCACTGGACACAGAAATAGGAGACCCCTTATTTGGAGAAAAGGAATTATACTAGTAACCTGTATTCTTTTACATTTCCAATGGTCAATTGATGCAGCTGTCAGATTGGCAAGTTTGAGTGTACCATTAACTTACTAATGATGACTGACATGTTAGAAGACCTTGAAATAGATGGAATAATGCCAGTAAATATGGAAGAAGAAATATTTTTATTCTTTATGTCTGACATACAATGGATACAAATGAAGAGTCTAGGTATACCCAAATTTGCCTAAAACAGTCTCATATTTCTAATTTCCTAGTGAAATTCCATTTGTACCTGTTACTTGGTGAAATATTTAATAGCAATTCCTTTCAGTCTCAAAATTACCATATTTAGATGATAACATGCCCTACCCAAAACTGATCTGCAAAAGTCATTTTAGCTTTAATTCTATTCAAAGCAATGCCACTGAATCACTATTTCACATTTCTTCTTACCTCCTCCTCCACCCCCTTCCTAGGAAAAATTAAAGACATGTTTTCAGGGGAAGAATTTGGCCCTCTGACTCGGCTTGTCCTGGTGAATGCTATTTATTTCAAAGGAGATTGGAAACAGAAATTCAGAAAACAGGACACACAGCTGATAAATTTTACTAAGAAAAATGCTTCAACTGTCAGAATTCCAATGATGAAGGCTCTTCTGAGAACAAAATATGGTAATATGAGAAACCACAGTTCCTAAGAATAGTCTTGGGTATTGCCAAGTATATTTGATATTTTATTTTGTCTATCCCAGGTTATTTTTCTGAATCTTCCATGAACTACCAAGTTTTAGAATTGCCTTATAAAGGTGATGAATTTAGTTTAATTATCATACTTCCTGCAGAAGGTATGAATATAGAAGAAGTAGAAAAACTAATTACTGCTCAACAAATTCTAAAATGGCTTTCTGAGATGCAAGAAGAAGAAGTGGAAATAAGCCTCCCTAGGTTGGTAATGTTATTATACTAGTTCTTATGTTTCCACTTATGTAGAAATTTGAATAGCCAGCTGAAAGGTAACAAATATTTAAAAAGTCTATTGACACAAATGGAAATAAAAGTGCATTTGGAAATTTTACTCTACTTTTGGATACTGAGGCAGGGCTTACCTGTGCTGGCATTGCTTCACCATGAGGAGAACTGAATTTCAATACTTAGTTTTCTTTGAAAAGAATAAATATATGTCTTAAAATTAGAATGCTGGGATTAGAAGGAATTATTGTGTTTTTATCATGCTAATTTATCTTTCTTCATTTTTTTCCTGATTGGAATTTATAATATTTGTCTCTTATTAAGAAAACGGTAATTTAATGCTATGTGTTATACAATCAAAAGATATGTTATATCACTTTAATAGATATGCTCTAACAATCATTGAATCATAAACAGATTCCTATAGTCAATTTTAGGTAGTTAGTACAAAATGGAAACTGCAAAGGGTTATCTCAAGAAGCAATAATTATGAACTAATTTTTTTAAAATCATGCTTCTAAGGGACAGGAGAAACTTCAAAGGAAAAGATGTGTCCAAATGACTCAATTCACACTGTACCTGAACTTTCAGAAAGAGATCTATGTCCAATTGATTACATACTGTCGTTTTTATTTCTAAAATTCTCTTCACACTCATCAGGCCCTACTTATTTTGTGCTCCCCTGTTTCTGGCCACTGGTCTCTTAAACCTCTTGGTTTTTACTTCCTTTTCCACTTAGCCAGAAATTATCATTAGAATACAAAAATTAGCTGGGTGTGGCGACAGCTGCCTCTAATCCCAGCTACTTGGGAAAGCTGAGGCAGGATAATCAGTTGAACCCGGGAGGCGGACGTTTGCAGTGCAGTGAGCTGAGATTGTGCCACTGCACTCCAGCCTGGCAAGAGAGTGAGACCCAGTCTCAAAAGAAAGAAAAGAAAAGAAAAAAAAGCCACTCCTGTTCTTCAACTACAGCAACTACTGATTTTGTTGGAGTAGAAACCTGGAAAGGAGTCACTTCTGGCCTCACCGAGACTAGAGCTCAGGACTCCCTGCTTACTCTTGAGAACTTTCTTTACTTCTACCCACACCACACCAAGACATTACCTCTTTCCTTTACTTACTACTCTAGGTCAATTTCTCTTACTTCCAACATGTGTGTTAATCTCCTATCTCTTAAAGAAAACCTATCATCAGGCAAACTCTTTCTCCTATTTATATAGATCACCTCAAAATTTATGTAAATCTTTGCTAATCTTCTCTTTCTTTACCTTCTTTGATACTGTGCAGAAAGAAATAACCTCTACTTCTTTCATCCTAACTCTGGGATCTTGAGCAAAGTAATATTAACCATCCCTTTTTTCTTGAAAAGCTTTCTTCCTTTAGTCCCCAGGACACTGCTGACTTCTTTCTCTCTTTCTGAAAATTTTCCCTGCTCCTTGGCTTACTTTTATTTTATTTCTGTTCTCAAGTAAAAATGCTTATCAGAGTTTCATCTTCAGAATTTTCTTCTTCTTAGTCTCTCTGAGAAACATTATTTATCTTGTTATTCTTGTTTTTAAAATCTGAATCTCTAACCCCAACATCTGTTTTACTTCCCTGCCATTTGAATATCTCTACCTCATATTGTTCTTTTTTTTTTTTGAAGAATATATATATTTTTGGGCACTCACTGTTCCAAAGATCAGGGAATAATGGTATATATGATAGATGGTTTACCTTCTAATAACTGAAATAATATTTTTTGTAATTAAATTGTTTATTTTCAAATTGACTTCTCTCAGCTTTGAAATAATCACTGTTGTAGACAAAAAAGAAATACTGAGTTTGGAAATGTACTAGTAGTCACTGTCTTGTAGACAAAAAAGAAATACTGAGTTTGACATGTACCATTAGTGGGGTCTCAGGAGAGTTACTTGGCTATTTTGAGTTGTGGTTTTATCAATATAAAATGTGGATAATGATATTTATTGCCAGATTTTTCAGTCTAAATAATAATGGATAAGCCCCAACCTCAACTGAGAGAAAGAAATACAGGCTTTCACTAGAATTTTCTTTGCCAGCATTTTTAGGAATCCTTAGAGGAATGTTTCACAGTCCAAAAATCTGTCCAAGCTGCCATCGTATAGACAACTTCTCTGAACTCTTTGGCCTTATTATCAGCATCTCCACACTAGGGCCACACTTCCCATACAACTACTCCCACAGTGTAGAAACAAATTTCTCTCTTAAATATTCCAAGCACAACTGTTATGGGTTGAATTGCATCCCCCTACCCAAATTCATATTGTGAAGTTCTAACCAGTAACTCAGAATGTTGCCTTATTTGGAGCCAGGATTTTTACAGAGTAATGAAAGGGAGGTCATTAGGCTGGGCTCTAATCCAACATGACTGTGTCATCTAAAAAGGAAAATTTAGACAGAGATACACACGGAGGGAAGATGATGTGAAGAGACACAGGGAAAAGATGGCCATTTACAAATCAACAAGAGAGACGTAGGACACATTTTTCCCTTACAGCCTTCTGAAGGATCCAGTACTGCTGACATCTTAATTTTAGACCTCTAGCCTTTGCAACTGTGAGACAACCTGTTTGTTATTTAAGATACCCAGTTTGTGGTACTTTGTTGTGACAGCCCTAGCAAACTAATACAAGAAGAACGACTTCCATGTTTAAGCAAATTTTACTGAAAGCTTGATGACAGCCAAAGGGGCTTACAACATAGAAAGCAGTTTAAAACCAGGTACCAAGCATGATAGTTCCTTGAGTATAGACTGTTTCTTGTACCAAAGAGTCTCCTTCTGTCTGTTGTTATACTTAGCCTGCCATTGCAGCAGTGCTAGTGCCCACCTTCACCCAAAAGAGCTGTCTTTACACCTCCCTCCCATTCAGCATTGAGTGTCCTCCAACATTTCCCACTATAAAGAGAAGGTGACCCAGATTTTCTTCCATGCTCTCTAAGGCCAGCTTCCTAGTTGTGACAAGAATCTCTGGTTGCCAGGTGTGGTGGCTCATGCCTGCAATCCCAGCACTTTGGGAAACTGGGATTACTGGAGGATCTCTTGAGCCCAGGAGCTCAAGACCAGCTGGAGCAAGAAAGAAAGACCCTATCTTTAGAAAAAAAAAATTAATAAAAACATTAATTGGACATGGCGGTATGTGCCTGTAGTCCCAGCTACTGTGGGGGGTAAGGCAGGATAATCACTTGAACCCATGAGTTTGAGGCTTCAGTGAGCTGTGATCCTGGCACTGCACTCTGGCACTCAGCCTGGACAACAAAGCAATACCCTATCTCAAAAAAAGAAAAGAAAAGAGAAGAAAAAAGGATATACAGCAGGGAATTTCAGTGAAAACAATGTTTTCATATCATATAAAATAGCTTACACCCTCATCATCTCAAAATTCTCCATCTCCATCCCACCGGTTCTACTTGCAAAATGAAAAAGCCCATTGTATTGCTTTCCCAAATAAAAGAACAATTTGCCTTAAAAGCTGAATTTGAATCTTCACTTATATAGAAACAAAAACAATAGTTGGCAGTTGTATCTCCTTTTTCCATACAAATTCCAGCCACCAATGATATTTAAAAACTTGGCAGACTCAGTTACAGTATCTCATTACATACTACTATTCATAGCACAAAGTCTGGCAACTAGAAGGTGCTAAATAAATGATGACTGTATTTTTCCTTTGTTGAAAAGATCACTGCCCAGTCAGTACCAAACTAGAAACGTTGCCTTCTCTGACTTCTCAGACTCTGCTCCTTTCTATTCTGTGGGGCAGGCCCTTCTCCATGGTGTCTCGCCAGTAACTTCCATTAGTCCTCCATTGTTTCCCTCAAGGTTACTGCTTCCATGTAGATTTTCTCAAACATGCCTAGTTAGGGGGAACCATTCATTATATAAATTTCTAGAACACTTCATGAAAATTTTCATCATAGCACTTATTACATCGCATTTTTCTTTCTTTCTCACATTCCTGTCTGTCCTATTAAAATGTGATTTCTGGGACGGTAGAGTAGATCTTGTATATATTAGTTTCTGTTGTCCCTAGCATACTTCGTGGTATACAGTATGTGCTAAATAAGTATTATTGAATTAAATTACATAAATATTTTCAGAGAAAGAAATTCCGTATTATTTCTCTTTTATTTAATTTCAACTATCTTAAAAACCAGGATTCAACTTTCTAGTCACTCTAAATTTATTCTCTGAGTCTCTTGACAAGGCTTTCCCTCTTTCCCATACATGGAGCATCATGAAAAATAGGATACTAGCCATTTACTTAAAAACTTCTCTCTGTAGAAGGAAAAGTGAAATTTTAAAAAAAATTCATAACAGAAATTTGTTATTATTTAATCCCATTAATACAGCATTACAGTTAAAATGTGTTCACTTTTTATGAAATTAATGTCTTCTGATTTCCTAAAGGAACAATTTGCTTCTGGATTTAGTTCATTAACAATTTTAACTTATCAGAACTCATTTATCACATTCATGTAAGTTTCCTGAGCACAAAATCATGGATTAAAAGTTCTGAAATACACTTCTCCCAAAATGAACAATTTCCTCACAACAGAAAAATACCCATTTAAAATACGTGTTTGGTACAGAAGAGAAAATAATATAGGCTCAATAAATGTTTGGGGTAGACTGACAGTTTTGCATTTTATTACTGAGTGTTGTGGTTCTTTGACATCTGAATAAACATGTAATGGTTTTCAAACCAATAACTTAAAGATTTTGATAAAATTGGAACAGCTTGATCAGCTATGTTAGTTTTTTAGAGCTGTCATAACAGTACAACACAACAGAGTAGGTGGCTTAGAACAACAGAAATTTATTCTCTCGGTTCCAGAGGCTAAATATGCAAAATCAAGGTGTCAGCACAGCATGTTCTCACTGAGACCATTAGGAGAATCCTTCCTTGCCTCTTCCTACCTTCTGGTAGTGGCTGGAAGTCCTTGGTGTTCCTCCA